TCTAGCTTTCTCAAAATTGGAACAGGGGAATACTTTGTCCTTTTGGGAATTGCTTCACGGGGATGATTCTGTGATGCTGCGATAATCTTTGGTTTCTGGGGATGATATTGCTGGGGGACTGATTATTTGGGATCCTTTTTCCTGCTTAGGCAACAAACAGGTGGGAAGAACTCAGATGCCATTTTCGCAGGTATTTTGTGCTCATGAGTGTCATCCGGGTCTCACCCTGGAGATGCTGGAACAGAACTGCCTGTTATGCTAGTTGTGTTGTATTTAGCTGAAGGGAAGCTTTTTCTCTGCTTTAGTGTAACAGCATACAGCCCCAGCTCATAGAATAGTGACTATACATCAAGAAGGGGTTTTTTTTTTAGGATTCAGACAAGTCCTTTTTAATCATTGCTAGTCTGTTGTGCTGCCTGAACTAGGGTTAGGACGACACTCACTGGAACCCATTGTTCCATCATGAGGGGATCTCCTCTCCTGTTCAACCCCATCTTGCAAGTGAGCTGAGCTGAGAGGAAGTCTGCAAACACTCACAGATGGAAACCAGAAATCTTCCTCCATGGCAGGGGCAGCAACACGAAGACTGCTGCTGGGGGTGAGGAAGAGCGACCCTGCTTGCCTGGCGTGCAGGGCTCCGTTCCTCATGAGCAGCCCACAATGCTGGGTGTGAGCAGGAGGAACTTAGACTCGGGGCCATGACAAAGTTAACCAGAGTCCAGAAAGCTGAGTGCTGCTAGCCCCAGTAGAGATTCCTCCACATCCCTCACTGAACCCAGTTGTGATGTTTCACGATGTAAGTTTAGCTTTTAGAAACCGTAATAAGAAACAATGGTTTGTTCTGTGGTTTCTATGTACCACCATGGCTTGTCGTGTTGTCTGCAACCAAGAGCATGGTTTCCATGGTGCTGGTATGCAACTACCACAGAGCTCCTTGGAACCAGTGGCAACTGCAGAAGCAAAACAAAGGCAAGGAGCAAAGCACCTGAATTTCAGGAGTAGTGTTGGATGGAATGCATGCCAACAGGAGGGGAACTGATCAGGGAGGATGGGAACTACAACACAGAAAGTACTTTATCAGGTAAAAAACCACAAATCATGGTAACTACTGTTGTTTTGTAACACACAATGACTGCGTGCAGACAACACAAAGAGGGGGGGTTAGACATTGTCCTTCCACTATTTTTCCCTGATATAATCCCACCCCCATAGGAGGATGGTGACAGAAAGAGACAGTTTTCCAGAAGTTTTTCCCTTTCCCCTGCTACTCTACTCCATATGCAAATGCATTTGGGTGGAAGAAAATTTCAGAAAGAAAATGCTGGTAGGGGAGTTTAATTTTCCCTCCTCATGCATGGTGATCCTAGTTCAAATTAGGTCTGTGAGTGCTTACACTAGAGTAAATAAAGCTAACCTTTAGCTACACACTGTGAGATTAATGAAACATGTCTTTTGGCTTCCAGTCATGCTCAAACATGATGCAAGAGCATCACAAAAGGTTAAAATGTGTGGAACGGACTAAATTTTTATAATTGCAATGTAAGGTTTGCCTCGTCTCTCTTTCTCCATAATTAGTTTGCAGTTTTCAAAATGTGAGCATTTATGAAAGCAAAACATCCATAAGGATGCATCATTGTTCAGCTGGTACTCTACACATGTGTATGAAGTAAAATTTAAATGCATGCACTATCATGTAAAAAGGAGGAATAAAAGAATGATAAAAGGTTTTGTTCATCTAAATCTTCATGTTCTGGGCAAATCCTTCAACTCCATTGTAGAAGAGTGAAGGACATAAGCTACTTTAGTACATTTTCACAGCAAAGTTTTTATTAAAATTAGAAGAGAGATGGAGCATGAGTGAGACTGTCAAAAAAGAAAAGCTCCATCTATTTCCTTATTGCTCTCCAACATAGAATGTTCGACTCTAAAGAAATACTAAAAGTGCACCAAATGATCTGCTGTTCTACGTCTCTTTGACAATCTCCTTTTTTAATAACCTAAATGCAGGCTGTTGGGCTCTTCAGCAGCCTGCCCTTGCAAATTTCCTCTGCAAGAATTATGTCAGGAAATGATAAAATAAATTTTCATTAGGAGCCGCTAACTTTCAGTTAAGAAAACCCAAGTCTGCATGCACATGTGTGCATCCATGTGCAGATGCGACGCATTGCCTTAAAAAAAAGTCTCATGGAATTGTCAAGCTGAGTGGAAGAGTCTGACTGCTACTATTAACACAGAGCATGTCCAATGAACTATGCACTGTTCTCTGAAGCACTGCACCATCCTTATTTTGCTATAATATAGAGATGGGGGGAAAGAATCTGGAAGTCCCATCTAGAACTTTGGAGTGTGTGAACTAGGGCTCTTATGCTTATGGCACAGCCCCTGAAGCAGGGATAAGGGGAGCCTTGTCTTCTTCAGTTCTGCATCACCTCCCTTACATCCTCTCAGGATCCATACTGGGGCAGTGGGCTGGGCTGAAGCACATGTGGATGGAGTGATGGAGATGTCTCTGAGCGTCATTCAGCATGTGGTGGGAAAAGAGACATTGCCATCTGGGAATTCTTTTGCCTCCGTGCATGCAAGCTTTATTATTGGGTTAAAGCATGATGGAGAGGATAATGCCAACATCCAGATTGTGGTAGAGTGGGGGCACTGGACCCATGGGCCTGGTGTTTTTGACCCAGTCTTGCTCTAAAGCAACATGATCTGCAGAATGGTCTGAAGCAGTGCCTTGTTTTTTCTATAGGAATTCCAAATAGTTCCTGACTTAAAGGATATTATTTGGAGAGAGTGTGATGGGAACCAAAATTGTTCCTGTCTCTGTTAACTCCTCCACTGAGAATCTTTTCTGATCTGCTCTTACCTGCATTGTCTAATGATCATGTATCCTGCTTTACAGAAGACAGCCCTCTGTTCAAAGCCCTCCTTCGTTTGAAGGGCAGCTCCATCCATATTTGTAATCTCAAATTGGCAATTGGCAGAAGAGAAGTGTACCAGCTGTGCAACCAGAGTGACTTTGGAGACAGGCTTTTGGGTGTGGGTGGGAGGGGATGGACTGCACCAGTGCATGAAGCCTTTCTAAAGGCTCTGAGGCCAAATACTTAGGCAGCCAAAACTGTCCATCTAAGTGTTTTGTGTGGCAGGAAGAGTATCCAGGCTTCCTTCACCTCCATGCTCCTCCCACCATCCACAGGATATGCACTGTCTTCTTATCTTCATGGAACTGTGCCTTCTTAAATTAAATTTCAAATAATGCAATGAAGAGGTCAGTTCTGAGTAAAGGTGGCTACTGTGACTCCCCAAAAAGAGTAAATGCATCACCAGGAGAGAGAGAGAGCGAGAGAGAGAGAGCATATTTTTATAACCTGTGCATGCTAATTTGAAGATGCAAAGCACATTTGGGAAGAATTATTTCAAATTAGGTAGGAACAGAAAGCATCTCACCACGGTGGTGGATATGGGAGTAGAGGATTCCTGTGGCAGCTCCGTCTGCTGCCCAGCCTCAACCCACTGAGGGATGGTTGCAAAGTCCCTACTCTCCCTGGCATTTGGCTCTTTATTCCAGAAACTTGGCTTAGATAGCCCTCTGGATGGAGAATCCTTGAGGCAGAGGAGCATTTCTAACAGGCCTTCAAAGAGTGGACTGTCTTCAGTAAAGTAGGACACATGGCCTGACTTTAGCCTGAGGTGCCTGCTTCACAGGCACACAGTATTGTGGGTATCTCTTCCATTCATTGTAATCCCATGTCACTGCCCTCTCTCTCTCTCTCTCTCTCTCTCTCTCTCTCTCTCTCTCTCTCTCTGTGTGTGTGTGTGTGTGTGTGTGTGTGTGTGTGTGTGTGTTTAGCTACTGTCTGTACTGAGCCAACGATGCAGTCCCTTCTGGTCCCATTGGCACCCTCCCGTGTTCCGCAAGCAGAAAAGTAGGGAGGACCCATGAGATTGGGTCCACCCACATGGTTGTAGTTTTGCACACACTTATCACTAGTGTGGAATCACTCCATGGGGAGGCATCTCTTTCTGTGTGTATAGAAAGCACAATTGTGTCCTGAATGTATGTTGAGATGCATCAGATGAATACTATATGGTCACAACTGTAACTTGAGAGGTTACTTCGGAATTGCTATCCTGAGAAAGCTAGCCACACAGGGAGAAAATTCAGCCATGCCTTTTTGCAGATCACCTTAGTACTTCCCACAGGTCACTGGGTCTTTCTGTGGAACTCTGCAGTCCAGTTTGTATTTACAGCATCTCTTAAGGGTGTATAAAATCATAATTGATTTGTGCTTCCTATTAAACTATCCTCTGGTAACAAGTTTAAAATTTATTGCAAGTCCCTTCGAGACATATTTTAAAATGCAAACATTAAAACACACATATTTAATCCAGCTTCTGAATCCATGTGTTTGGTTTTAGAAAAGTAAAATTTAAAGCTGCAATCTTGTGCAGTCTATATAAATTCAGCGGGTGACATCATAAATAACTTGGCAATCAGTATTTTACCTGTCATCTCAAGTAACCATAAACTACTTATGTATAATTTTACTTACATGGCTCTGGCAACTGTTAATATATGTACAGTAACTTGTAAAACATCAACTTATTATTCTGCCCATATTAGCTCTTTCATACTAATGATTTATTTTTCATTTTCTCCAGGATATAGACCTTCAGCTAACTGGAATTGATTTATAAATGGGGAATCTGCAGTAAATGGATACTCTCTTCATATTCCTACTCTGGAAACCAGAATTGCCAATCCGATGTAGTATGATAAATAGGGCTGGGTGAAGATGCTGCCTCGGAGCAAATGAGAATGGAAGATGCTTGCCATATGAACAGCCTTTGGAGAGTTTTCTGACGGGCTCACCTTTTGGAGGCCCAGTTCATACATTTCATTTCCCAGGTCCCGTCAAAGAGCTCCACTTTACCCTCTGCGGCCCCGTAAGTGGATACAAATCAGCTCGCTTTAACCCCAGTTCTACACCCGATGTGGGACCATGGCTTTTCCAAGATCCATGTGGCTGAACTGCATGTGCAGAGCAATGCTGGTTCGCCTGTTGCACATGGGATTGGACGCCACATTCACTCTTTGTGTGCTTGGATTCTTGCTTCACGCTGCCGCTGTGTCATCACAGAAATTGGATGATAGCGACCCGGTGGTGACCACCAACTTTGGAAAAATCAGAGGGATGAAGAAGGAATTGAACAATGAAATCTTGGGGCCTGTCATTCAGTTTCTTGGGGTTCCTTATGCAGCTGCCCCGGTTGGGGAGCGTCGATTTCAACCTCCTGAACCACCGTCTCCCTGGCCAGACATCAAAAACGCGACACAGTTTGCACCAGTATGTCCCCAGAACATTATAGAGGGCAGACTGCCTGAAGTCATGCTTCCTGTCTGGTTTACTAATAACTTGGATATAGTTTCTACCTACGTACAAGATCAAAATGAAGACTGCCTCTATCTGAATATATATGTCCCAACTGAAGATGGTGAGTTACTCAAGGGAGAAGCAGGGAGATCCTTTGTTTTTACTTTGTATTTGAAGTTTTTACTATTCTATCATGTTTACTGGTAGCCAGCACGGCTTTCTTGTCTGCATGCCAGTGTTTATTCCCCCTCCTTTTATATTATGCATGCTGCTTTTTCTATGTATGCATCAGTTCTTAGCCTCTACTGTCCCTTCTCTCCTTCTCTTATCTATATTCCTTTTCTTGTCCTTCAGCACGTGTATTCTTAGGTCAAAGTTGGTACCTAATTCTCATTCCCACCCATTGACTTCTGGGAGAGATGCATTCAACATCTTGATCCATTGCATGGGTAGGCAAACGGAGCGGAGGCTCTCCTGCACCTAATGAGTAAATGAATAAAAAAGCAGGCCATTTTGAAGTTAGCTAGTGGTATTGCATGCTCCTACTGTCTGTCATGGAGCTCCATGTTATTTTCTAGTCTTCTATTCATTTTTCAGTCAAAAGAATATCCAAGGAATGTGCCAGGAAACCCGGCAAGAAAATATGTAGAAAAGGAGGTATGTATAAAGTGGACACAAAACGAAATCTGGGTTGGCAAAAATAACGGCAACATGAAAACCGTACAGAGGAAGGCCAGATCTTAAAGGAAAATTAGGGTGCTATTGTTGATGGTTCTTGTGCAGGGAAAAAATGTTTGCAGTTAATGAGCCTGAATGCCAGTTAAAGAGGAGGAAGTTTAAAAACAAGAGCATACATGATCACTCTCCTTCCCTACCCCCGAACCATAAGGACTTGGGTATCCCTCCTTTTTTTTCCTTCTGTTGGCGGATTTGAGAGGTTGTTGGTGTGTTACTCTGATGGAGGAGTTGTGCTTAGCTGTAGCTGGCCTGTTTCCTATGTGTGGTAGCCACTGTCCAGCGAGTTGAAGCACTGAAAGCCTTGGACCTTTGTGATCCCCTCAGAAGCAATTTCGCAGTTGCTCTAGAGACCCTCTGTGTTTAATCAGTGATTGCTGACATGTTGTCCTTTCTTGTTAGCTGGTGAAAGGCTGTATAATATTTCCAGGAGGTTAAAATACTGGTTATGTTATGCTAACAGTATTGATAGATACAGGTGATATAGATATATAGGTAGAAGTATACCGCGATTATATGTTGGTATTATATTTGTAATCTGAATTATTTGTATAGCAGTAGTAATGTACCTGGCACTTGATGCTGGAGCAGAGTTCTGTGAGTAGATGAATGTAGCCTCAACTTTATGCAGGCCTTCAGCACTGCTAGTAGGATGCAGTTACATATCTGAATTTAGGCCATGGGTAAAGGCAGACAGTTACATACCCAGTTATCACTGTGCAATAGAAAGAATCTCAGATCTGAAAAGACTGCTTCAGAGGTCTAAGGACAGACTGAAGAATTGCAATGAAGATTTGGAATTTGAATCTCTTCATATTTTCCAGTCCCCTTTGTACTTTTAGATACTGGATGCAACACTTCAGATCTAGGATTCATCAAGACTATGTGTTTACTGGGGAGCGTGGGGAGGAGTGTCCTGCCAATGAAAACGAATTATGAGTTTGAGCCATGTAAGTCTGGTGCACTAATTCTGCATGGATCCCAGAAGAAGGGGAATTACCGGTTTCAGCCTTGTGATATAGCCTGCAATGGTTAGGCAGGTACAATGAATGGAAGAAAAGTGCAGATGGTGTTTTTGCATGGTTGGTGTAAATACTATGAAAAGTAATTTTCCACCTCAACATAGTCTACAATTGTACTGTGTTCATTTTTGTAGGATATTTTTATCTACAGTATATTTTGCATGTTTAAAAAGTCAGATTGGCTTGGCTATTATACTTCTCTCTATTAATTCAAAAGGTTTTAAAATGGATTCTAGCATATTTATGGTATGTAAGCTGCAATTTTTAGTAACTCATTCCTTCTTATAGCTTAATTCTTCTTGCTAGCATGATTGAATTTACCAAAAAAAAAAAAAAGTTTTTGGCAATGTGGGCAGATTGCTAAATTAGCATCATACATTCTTGTGTAACTGTCTCATTTAAAACCAACGAACCAACCAACATACGAACAATTACCTGCTTTGTACATAATGCTATCCCATGATTTATTTAGCCCATGGGTTGTTGAATTCAGGCCTGTCCTATCACACACATCCAGCTGCACTGACAGACAATTGTCTATTAACGATGAGCAACCCAGAAGGATAATCCATGACTTGTAATGCTGAGAATTTTGTATTGTTTAAATCATGGGTCGTCATTGCATTTGAACCCAGAACCAGGGCTTATGTCACCAGGCTATAGAGGGGGTGGGCAAGAGTGGTAAAAGAGAACTCAGGAGCTGTGCATGCTAGTACCATGGTTCTACCAGGGCATTTGAGATATGGTAGGTATGCAAGAAGGTGCAGGGAAACAACCCAGGAATTGAACCCCCTCCCCCCTCAAAAAAAAAAACCCCTACCCTTTTCATTGTCCATGGGTTACCCAATGGTTAAATAAAACATGAGTTACATAAGCATGGATTAGCATTGTAAGTAAACCAGGTCAGTGGAATTATCTTTTCTTCATAAGCATCTGTAATTTCAAACCTTTTACCAGCGATAATAATAATCCACTTCTACAGCAACTATAACTGTCACTTACTGTAGTCTACTTATTATAGTCATTACTTACCATAGTCTATAAGTCATTCCTTCTCTAGAAATATATGAGTTTGGATGAGCCTGTCTGAAAAATGGACTTCCAAAGGTCACATTTAGAAAAGCAGATGGTGTCTTTATCTTAAAATCTGACCACTTCCAGATGTGGATGTATGGCTGTGTATTGGAATGTCCTGCAGCTAAAGTAGCAAGTTCACCTTCTCCCTAACATGGTCTCTGTCAATCAGTGATGTTGGGAAACTTTCAGTTATACAATTCCTGCAAGCACAGATGAAATGTTTCATAATTTTGAAAGCCATGGGCAAAAATCTACCCTACTGTTGTTGTTTTTTTATGGGGATGGACATTGGGTGGGTGGGAAATGAAACATATGTATTAGTAGATTAGCTTCTTTAAGAATATGGAACACATTCTGTATTACCAATAATGTAAACCGTATAGGTTGCTTGGGCCTACTGTGCTCAGTAGGATTTAATTCCAGAGACACGTGCATAAGGTTTTAGATTTTGCAGATATATTTATGCTATTTATAGATGCATTAATTTTGTTTCAACAGTAATTGTACATATATCTGAAGTTAGAGGTGGAGATAGCTACGAATGTCTTGGTTTTTGAAAGCTAGGAATTAGGAATACAGCAAAAATAGAAGCATCGTAATTATGGAAATGAAGAATTGTTATTTAGGCTTGGAAATAGTTGCCCAGATCTGAAAGACTTGGTGATTTTCTCCCAGGCTTAAGGAAGCTTGTGCTGATGTTTTTGGGCAAACCTCTTTTCAAATGGCCCTTTGTGATGTGATAAGTATGCCCTGAAAATGGCGATGGTGCGGGAAGCGCAAATGATGCTTCAAGTATGCTCTCAATTAAAGTAGGCACCTGAGTCCTAGGCAGTGTATAGACTGCCATGTTATATTGAGGAAATTGAAGAAGCTATTATTTCTAGCAGAAAGGCTCAGAGGATAAGAATCTATTAAATGAGTAGCAATACATCTGGACACTTAGTTAAACTTTAGAATAACACCGCACTTTTCAACAATAGATCGTTGCCACAGTCATCAGCAGCATCATTCAGGTATATGTGGCAGAGTAGCCATAAACATGACTGACAAATCATATTTAATGGTATAAAGTCCTGTTCTGATAAATATCCTTTAAAAAACCAATCTATTCCTCATATTAAAACCCATGTCCAAAAATCCATAGCTTTGTTGTTTCATGTTGAGCTTCATGCACTTTAGATATGGACAACTTGGATGAATCTAAAACACTTCTTGGGTGTTAATTTGCTGCTTGTTATTGGTAATCATTGGAAGCTTAATAAATCATGGTTAATTAAACTGGGAGGAAGTGTTGAGGCTGAATATGCCTCCTTTGCCCTCTCTCCTCCTTTCATGAACTACCTTCAGTATGAAGATCCTGGTTCATATTAATCCAGATTCTCTCCATTGCATCTTGGGTTAATTTTCAGGTTTGTTGACCAATATTAAGTCAGAGTTACTCACTTTGGAAATAATAGGGAAATCTGGCTTAATGCAAGCCAGGTCTTTGAACTTAAAGGAGCATTTGGAGAGATGGGGGAGGAATCCTTTGTCCTGATGCTCATTCCCATCTTCCTAAACTGTAGTTTTATGAATGGTGTAATACTGTGAGCATTTAGACATTAAAAGTCCTGCAGCTGTCAGTGCTCATTGTGGCTACCTAGGGAACACCTGGACTTTTGCTATTTAATCATGCATAGAATATCAACCTAAGCCTCAAAGGATCACCTGGACTACTGTACATGCATCACAAACGTTCACCACTTCACTTCATGCAGATGATGGAGGAGTCTGGAACAAGTTTGAAGGGAGAGGATGAAAGGGTAGGCTTTATACAGAAGAGCCTAGCCATTACATCTACAAGCCAAGCAGTGTCTTCATATGTTCAGTGTCAAATATTTGAAGATCTATATTCTGCACCACTTGAAACTGCTTTGTCAAGTTTAAGTCTTAACATTGTTGCTTGTTTGCTTACCCAGTTAAAAACATAGAAACGGAGAAACAGAGCGAGTCAGAAGGTGCCTCCCTGGCCATCTAGTCTGACCTCCGGCAGCAGCCGGCTCCGCTCACGACATGCCCGCCATGTGGACGTCCAGCCTATCCTTGAACACCCGCACCGATGGGGCCTCAGCGACCTCTCATGGAAGCCCATTCACACCCTCGGGGTCCTGACTGTCAGGAAGTGCTTCCTGGCATCCAAATGGAACCTTGGCTCCCTGAGCTTTGCTCCATTGGAGCGCGTCCTGCCTTCCTCTGCAGGGGAGAACAGGTCTCTACCCATCTCCATGTGACATCCCCTCACATACCTGTATGTCGCCAACATACCCCCTCTGAGTCTCCTCTTCTCCAGGCTGAAGAGACCCAGTTCCCTCAGTCTCGCCTCATCCCCCATCCCCCATCATCATCTTTGGCACTTTGGATATAAAGGCTTTGCAGCAATATGCATACTATATAATAGGCTCCCCCAACCATTGGTGCCCAGATGTTTGGGAATTCGATTGCGATCAACCCCAACGAGCATGATTAATGGTCAGGAATTCTGGAAGTTGTAATCAAAAACATCTGGAATGCATCAAACTGGGGGAAGCTGGTCTGTAAAAATATTATGGCACCTTTCATTCAGCAAGGAGAAATATTTTGTATGTTTTTAACTACCCACCCCTCAAACTCTAGTTTTTCTAGCGAGTCTTGGAGTAGGTTTTTGTTACCTTCATTGTTATTTGCATCCACACTAATGCTTCAGTCTACCCCATTGCCACATGGTTCAGATCATGGAGTGTTAATGCAGCTGGAGTTGCCACAGGTTGAATTTTTGCATAATGCTGCATGTGAACACACTCTTAG